GTGGTGGTGCACTGAGCAGACTGGAGGGGAGAAGAAAACAGTGTCTCTTGTTCCCCTGTGCCTTAGCAGACTTTTTCAATGTTGTCACACTCACAACCCTCCCGCTTTTGCACTGTGGGTGCTTTAAAGGGCACTGCAGACCCCTGACCTCAGAGCAACAGATCTGGCCGCAATCTGCAGTCCTGCACACGGGCTGCCTGACACTGATGAAGGAATCACTCACATGCACACGCTGATGTGTCTGCAAAGTGTTGAGGTTTCCAGCTTCCACTGAATTTGATGGGCAATACTTCTGCACATCTTTGGTTAGCTTCCTCTCCCACTACCCTACAGCTTCTCTTCCAGACACCTGCCACACAGCACCCAGCTTTACCACTTTTCATGGTATAGGAAGTTTGCCACTCATTGCTGTCAAGTGGATTCCAACTCATAGCAACCCTGTGGGACAGAGTAGAACTGTCCCATAGGGTTTCCAAGGCTGTAATCTTTACAGAAGCAGACTGCCACATCTTTTTCCTGTACAGGAGCTGAGTGGGTTCCAACCATCAACCTTTTGATTAGCAGCAAGCGCTTTAACCACTGTGCCACCAAGACTCCTCCCGAAGTTTGCCAAGTCCCCCAAATTTACTAGATTGTTTGTTGAGGTGAGGAAAGGGTACTGTGTGGCTAACCCTGTACCTTGAAGCCAATGACCTGCCATTAATTGATCTAATTTTCCTTTCACTTTGTTTCTGTTAGGGAGAGGCATGATAGGTCAGAACATGTGTACAGTAATACAGGTCAGGTGCAGGCCTAGGTGGGTTTGCATCTGTCATCTCATTTAATCTTCCTATCAGCCCTGTGAAGTGGGCATTTTAATAATCAAATTTTATAGATAATATGCCTACTGTGTCTTGGGTGGCCACAGGACACAGCATAAGGGTGTGGGGGTTGGGGGGAAGTATCCACTTGTCACTGTGGCATGAGCCTTGGAAGTTTGCCATCTGACCACCCCCGCCCTCCACACATTCGTATTCAAACATTCAATTCATTTTCATTGTTATTATCATTCATATTATCTCTCTGTCTTTCTCTGTCTCTCTCTCTCTGCCAGCTTTCCACCAAAAATTTCTTCTCCATACAGATAACAGAGAAGGGATGGAAGAGCGGGCTTAGAGGTGGGTGGAGAGGATAGGACAGCAGGTTTGCTGGGATCCTGTTTATGCGGTTAGAACTCTGGTTGGTAACTGCAAGGGTCCCAGCAGCACACAGCTGGGGATGGACAGGACTGCTCCGGACTCCAGGAGATTCTAACCCTTGACTGCAAAAGCCAGACCCTATCTTTCAGCACCTAGGGAGCACATCCATGGGGCAGGGGAGTGGGGGGTAGGAGGAGTGGGAGCGGGGGTGTGTGGATAGGCACCCAAAGCCGTGAAGCACAGCAGGGATAACAACTTCTCTATCACTATACTTCTCTTAATATAACCTAGCTCTTTGGGCAGGCACGTCAGTAACATCTGTATTTATGTTTCAGATAAACTCTAAAGGTCTGTTTCACAAGCTCAGTTTAGCAATGTATCACCTCTCGCAGATCTGTAAAGTGGATCATTTGTACCCACACATAAAACCTGTTGCCATCGAGTCAATTCCAACTCATAGCAACCCTACAGGACAGAGTAGAACTGCCCACAGTGTTTCAACTGTCAAGAAATCAGATGATGTATTGCACTGGGCAAATCTGCTGCAAAAGACCTCTTTAAAATTTTAAAAAGCAAAGAGATCACCTTAAGAACTAAGGTGCGCCTAACCCAGGCCATGATGTTTTCAGTTGCCTCCTATGCATGTGAAAGCTGGACAATGAATAAGGAAGACCGAAGAAGAATTGATGCCTTTGAATTATGGTGTTGGCGAAGAATAGTGAATGTACCCTGGACTGCCACAAGAATGAACAAATATGTCTTAGAAGAAGTACAGCCAGAATGCTCCTTAGAAGCAAGGATGGCAAGACTTCATCTCACGTACTCTGGACACGTTATTAGGAGGGACCAGTCCCTGGAAAAGGACATCATGCTTGGTAAAGTAGAAGGTCAACAAAAAAGAGGAAGACCCTCAACAAGATGGATTGACGTAGTGGCTTCAACAGTGGGCTCAAACATAGCAACCATTGTGAGGATGGTGCAGGACCAGGCAGTGTTTTGTTCTTTAGTACATTGGGTCGCTATTAGTCAGAACCAACTTGACGGCACCTGACAACCAGAACAACAGGGTTTCCAAGGTTGTAATCTTTATGGAAGCAGTCTCCCACATCTTTCTCCCGTGGAGTGGCTGGTGGGTTCAAACTGCTGACCTTTCAGTTAACAGCGGAGCACTTAACCACGGTGCCAACCGGGGCTCCTTACTCACACATAAGACTTCTGATTTAGCTGAATTTGATCCTTTTGAGGACTTTTTGGATCCCAGCTGTCACCTAATACAGCTGCCTTCCCTTACAACTTTTTATCCACACCAGTTGATAAAACATGCTTTCCATATCTTCATAAAAGCCACTAATATTGGATAAAAGGAGCTGAAGTCCAAGTATTGCAGCTGCTGTTGTTATGTGCTGTTGAGTCCATTCGGACTCATAGTGACCCTATAGGACAGAGCAGAATTGCCACATATGATTTCCTTGGCTGTAATCTTTAAGGGAGCAGATCGCGAGGTCTTTTCTCCTGCGGAGCCACTGGTGGGTTTGAACCAATGACCTTTCGGTTAACAGCCTAGTGCTTAACCATTGTGCCACCATAGTATTGCAGCATATCTCTAGAAATCTCTTTCAGGGATACAATCTAACCCTTCATCTACATCTTCTGAGTTTAGTCGTGTTACCAGTTCATTAATCCAGTTAACCGTAGTATCGTGAAACCCCGTCCTGTCTTCTTTTGGCCAAAGAATGGCTATCCTAAAACACATTGCACCACTCCTTGGCTCCCCACATACCTTCTCTAGACCTGATTTCTCATTTGTAAGATGCCGACATCACCTTACCTCATAGGGAAGTCCTGGGGCAGAAGCAAAAGGACATAAAATAGCTAAGGAAATTTGACTTCAAACCTTGGGTCCTCTGTCCACTTCCTCTGTATGGTGCCTTCCAGAGATGGGATGGGCTGCCCCCGGGGGGCATTCCTTTTCCCTGGATGACTGCTTGGCAGGAATGTTGCCTGGGCAATGTTTGCCAACTCCAACATTCTGTGATTTTATTGATCCTATGAAATTTGATTTCATTTTTTTTCCTAATTATTCAATTAAAATACCAGTCTTGTTTGTTTCAGGCTTCCAGTATTATCAATACCTGTTTGCCCACATTGATGAAAGAAAGGAAACATCACAGTATATCTAAAAAATTTAATTGGCTTGTGAACTTTTTAAAACTTGATTTAAAATACAGGTATATAATCTAAATTTTATAATAATCGTTAAGTAATCCAGCCCTAGCACTACTCACATAGTAACATCTCTTCTGCTGAATTCTCAGTAGTAAAGCTTAGTCGAGAAAAGATGCTGTTGAAATGCCCATCCTGCTTTCCTGCTGAACACCTTTTCCAGTGCCTACTGGAAAACAACAGCATCAGGATCTCCCCCCGGGGTGGGGGTGGGGGGTGGCACGCCCACCAACGCATTCCTTCCATTCAGTGTTCAGTATGTGGATGTGTTCTCTCAGATCACATCTTTCTTTTCAGTGGTAAGCATCAAAAGAAGACTCTGCATACTCCTCTTCTCTGAGTTCCTATTTTATATCTACCCTTGGTTTGGAAGAGAACAAAGACATATTATCAACCAAAGATTTAAGAAGCAATTATAGTCAAAAAGAAATTATAAGCAGAATTTTCTATAATAAGTTTACCATTCTTAAGCATCTTTATTTTCATCTAAAAGTTAAAACAGTGATCCTTTGATCAATTATAGAGATACCTGTAAACTTTTTTTTCAAGATTTTTTCTGTAAACATAATCGAGTTTACACATGAAGCACACTGACTACAGGAAACCTTAATTTAATTTCATATGCATATTTAAATATCAAAATTATTTAACTAAAGGGAGAAACTGTAATCAGATCTCTTACTGAGTAACAAAATACTTCTTATATACAATTGATGTGTGGCTCACGTGGCACACTTTACTTAAAAGTCTTAATACTTTTTACAGTGCTGTCTATATAATATAAAGAAAGCTTGGAAACAGAAGAAAATGTATCCTTTTTATGTATTAGCAGTGATAGAGGGGTATAGCATCACCACCCTGTCAGGACCTTTGCATTCCCACAGTTCGGAAAGATTTATTTCATCATGTACATAATCGTACACATACCTGACTGATGTCATACATATGTTCTTTGTATAGAGAGAATTAGTATCAGTTAATATAACTTTTTAATCAGTTCTTTTATTGGCAGGGCATGATAATTAGTAGAGTGGTACCAAAAGTTTTAAGTGGAGAGTAAACTAGCAGTGCTTGGAAGGGATATTTCAAACTACAAGTAATATATGAACTGAAAATAATTATATCATTCTTAGTTTTTCTGATGATTCTGTGGACAGAAAGGTTTTTTGTTTGTTTGTTTTGATGCTTCCTTTCAGATACAGGGCCTGAAATGCAGCCTTTTAAATATGCCCTTGTAGACAAATTATTACCTTTAATTTTTTTAGGAAAAAATTTGAAAATATCCAGCACGACATGTGTCCTTGCTTATTCTGAGCTTTGTGATATGTATTCAGTAGTAGTTCTTGATAATTTGTTAACAAGACCTTTTTAACACTTTGGACAGATGCACATACTGTTTTCAATCTTCACGGTTAATTATTCGATTTTGTATTTGATGCCAGAACACCCTGACTCCTAATCACTGCTCATTGTTGCAAGTCCATTATATTCTAACTGTTTGAATGCTCCCATTGACCTTGAACTGACATTATAAGCTGTGTCTAATCTTTTCAGTCTATATTTCTAATGCTTCTTTTCTTTTTTCTTATCCCTGTTTAGCATCACAATGGGGCTGCCTCTGAGCCCAGCAGCTGACTCGGCCCGCTCTGCAAGGCATGCCCTCTCCCTCATCGCCACTGCCAGACCACCCGCCTTCATCACCACCATAGCCAAAGAGGTGAGCGTAACTTTCCAATATGCTCCAGCTTCTCATTCAGAGGAAGCTGAAGGTTCAGATCCATAAACAGTCCTTCCAGTGGGTTCTAGAACAATACAAGTTATAATTTATATATATATGTATGTATGTATATATGTATATCTATATGTATGTATGTATATATATATGTGTGT